CCTGATCTGGTGCACCAAAAGATGGATGCTTCACTTCAGCCCATGCAAAACCATTCAAAGGCGAGGTAATACATGCACGCAATTCAAAATAGCCCCATGCATCAGTTTATTTGACAGGAGCACATTGGTAGTTTCATTTTAGCATCCCTACACTGCCTGCATCTCCTAAGCCTCCAGAGGCCATGCTTGAATCTCCATCTTCAACAAATGTGCAATATCTGCAACAAAGATACAAAGTGAGCATGCTTTGGTTTTCATGCAACATATTAAATAGTGAACGCATACCTAAGCAGCCTTTGCCGGACACACAGTCAGTGTTCTGCGGGTTGGATGATTGAACGGATCCCAGAGCTGGGCTGAGGATGACGGTCAGCAAGCAGAACACAGACAGTTCTGGTCGGGTCCAGCTTACAAGCCCGGTGCCCACCAACATGATGTCTCTGTATCTCCTCTTTGACCTGTTAAATAAAGGTGCTGGGGAACAAAAGAGGAGCAGGCTGTGGAGGATGCGGACAATATCCCTTTTAAAACGTGTTTGTGTCCCAGGAAGGCCGACGGAGCCTTATGAGCATCCCTCCGGTTAAAAACAAGCGTGCATTTCGATCACAAGCACATTAGCGGGGATTCGCTGTTGAGCTGGAGCGCGTCTCAATAACAGCTCGCGGACGCCTCTCGTTCTGTCTTTGTGTGCATCTCAAGCGCGTCTGTTTTGCTAGTTGTGAGGAAAAGGCGACGCGTATGGACGGTTTAACGTCCTTTAGAAATCGTTCGTCCTCGGGTGTCTTTGCTATCCTTTCGCGTCGGGGCAATATCGCGATTCTCCTTGCCCAAAATCCCAACAACAAAGGGTCGGCACGGATGGGTGAACTCTTGCTATATACAAAGAGTGATACATATTGCTGTATATTGAGAATGGTATTGACATATTGTTTTAATGGCTAGAGACAGAGAGAGACAGGGTTACAGTATTGCTTAATTGCACTGTAAATGTTGTGATTTGGTGACAGTCATAATCATGCACTGAGACATACATCTGCGTTGCAGTCACGTGACTCCGGAACCTCCTCCTCCCCCAATTCCCGGAGGAAACGCAGGACCCCTAAAAATCTGCAAGCCTACAGTTGGGTCATTATTAGGATGCGGTTCTTTTCCATGCAGCGGTCGTTATATGGCTCAATCAGTGGCGTGTGGTGGGAACGAGTTTGAGTTTATTAGGCTAATAATAATTAATTAATGCATTTTCCAGTTGATGTTTGCACCGCAGCGTTATTTTACTATCACTGATATACTATTATAGTCTTACTAATATTTTGAATGTGGTATTTTTTACTTTAGCTTAAATTTGATCAATTTGTTGTTTTTATCATTTTTGTTAGTTTTATGTTTTTAAGTATTTATAGTTTTATTAATTTTTATTTTTTTTAAATTTTGGTTAAAGTTTGAGTCATTTTGTTGTGTTTGCTCTAAAAAAAAAATCTAATTTTTTGATTAATTTTATGTTCGTTTTAGTTTACCAAACTAAACAAAAATGAGAAATGTTGCCCCAAATAAGTAAAAATATTTATATATAGTGTTTTAAAAGGTTTTTAGTTTTAGTTATTGACTACACAGTTAAAGAAACATTATTTATCTTACACTACAAACAAATCAAGCAAGCAATACTATATTAATAATAACATATTAATAATTTAGGCTATATTTATGAAGTTTTATGACTTTTATATGAATATATTTATTAATATATATTCGGTATATTTATATGAATTTTTAGAAATCTATATCAATATTTATACATAACCATAGTAAGTATTGGTTTTCCATGATTTTGTCACTTAAATGTTTACAAATGATTATTGATATAATTAACAATTAAAAATAGAATAAAAATAATAAATATGAAATAAAAATAATAAAAATATGAATATTTTTATTATGATGTTATTTTCTGTATTTCTTTTTTGTAATGTAATTATGTAAACCTTTATTTGTATGGACATCATCACCATGAACTCTTGCTATATACAAAGAGTGATACATATTGCTGTATACTGAGAATGGTATTGACATTGTTTTAATGGCTAGAGACAGAGAGAGACAGGGTTAAAGTATTGCTTAATTGCACTGTAAATGTTGTGATTTGGTGACAGTCATAATCATGCACTGAGACATACATCTGCAGTGCTTTGTTTAGTCACTTCAAATGTTTCCAGTCTATATTCATAAGTTTCTGTCATTTTAATCTATTATCTCTGAAATGCAGATTAATGGATTATTTCCTCCAGATGCACTAAATGCCATCCATTTTAGAATTGTGGCCCATTATGACATTTTACGCTGTTTAATGACAGTTCCACGCACGAGGGGCCATTAAAGGATTAAAACACAGACAATGCAGTAATATGCAATTAATCTTCTTGAAATGTGGCTGTGAGAGAACGTTTGGCTTCTGGTATAACATTTATGTGTACATGTATGTATGTAAATGCAGTAGATGCCCACATCTAAACGTGTGCTGTGCTGCAACATCAAATCAAGAGCCTTTAACTTTAACGTCAAAACACTTTTTGTTTAGAGAAAACATTTTTAATAAACTGGTGCAGAATTCTTCAAACAATTTTTACATATGGTTTGCAGATAATCAAAGTACACCATGAAAAATAATAATCAGTGATAACTTGATGGAGGTTTGGAGTTCTGCTACATTCTTGAAACATAAGCAGGTTGTTCACACATTATTTACAAACCTGTTGCTGATATCCTTTATGCACTATAGCAACTTTTATTTTTGTAACAAATAATATATATTTTTATAATAAAAAAACATTTTAGTATTTAAACAGAATGCTAGATTTGTCATGAAAGATCTGTCCAAATATGTCAGGAACGGTCCCTTACCGAGCCTCCAAGTCAACCTAATTTAAAAAGTAAGCCTATTGACTTATAACATACTACTATATGAATAAATAAAAGCATTTTCACACAGTGATTTAAAAAAAAAGAAAAATGCAACCACTCACTATCTCAATGCAATCTAAACGGGTTTCAGATAAATATAGTTAGCCTCCTTCAAATCCATAACATCATCACAACAAAAGGCCTGAAATTTGTGATGTCGATTATGTTTTCTAACAATGTATATCTACTACAGCTGATGAGAAATGCAAAGCAAAAAATGAGGGTAAATTTAAGTCTTATCCTATGTTTCACAAACTTCAGGGCCATCTGACTCTTCCATAAAGGTACACATGTGCAACATCACATGTAGTGTAATGACAACACTGGCATGCACTGAAATATGAATGCTTCAGATATGAGGCCTTACGAAAACATTGCTCTTTTACACCTAGCTATTGCTCAGACTGTTGAAGGCAAATCTTGTGGTCCACTATACAAAATAAGTATAATAATTTTTTGTTTTTTTGAAGTAATAGTTCACCCCAAAAATGATAATTTACACACCCTCTGGCCATCCAAGATGTAGATGACTTTGTTTCTTCATGGAAACAGATTTGGAGAAATTTAGCATTACATGACTTGCTCACCAATGGATCCTCTGCAGTGAATGGGTGCCGTCAGAATGGGCGTCCAAACAGCTGATAAAAACATCACAATAATCCACAAGTAATCCATACGTCTCCAGTCCATCAATTAACATCTTCAGAAGCAAAAAGATGTAAGAAACAAATCCATGATTAAAACATTTTTAAATTCAAACTGTTGCTTCATTGAAATACTCATCCATCATCCACAACAACACTTTTTCCAGTGGAAAAAGTCCATCTCTCTTTATACAGATGAGACAACTTTTTCACTGTAGGAAGTGTTACTATGGATCATGGACTGGTATTTTAGCTGGAAACAACAGTTTAAAGTAAAAAATGTTTTGATGGATACAAATGATTTGGATTCTTGTGATGTTTTTATCAGCTATTTGGACTCATTCTGACGGCACCCATTCACTGCAGAGGATCCATTGGTGAGTAAGTGATCTAATGGTAAATGTATCCAAATCTGTTCCGATGAAAAAACAAACTCAACTACATTTTGGATGGCCTGAGGATGAGTAAATTATCAGCAACTTTTCATTTTGAGGCAATTCCTTTTCTATACAGAGAGTCAAGCTATGTGAACACAGCCCCTGTTAACTGAAACTGTCCAAGCAGTGTATTCTATTGAAAAAGTTAATTTGCAATACTACAAGATTTGCTGAAATTATTTGTGGGGTGGGGGTGGGGAACAGAACAAAAAACCCAATTGAAAACAGTTACAGAATTGCTTAAAATTACTGCTAAAATCTCATTAATACAAAATGGCAAAATGACAGTCGCACAACTCTACACTTATTTCCATACCCTTACTGAATGCACAACACAAAACTTAAGTGGAAAAGTAACTTTTTCTTTAAATACTACATATTGTAACAAGTTAAATCAAGTATGTGCACTGTACCTTATTAAATTATACTGTTCAGTTGATCTTTGACAAATAAAAAAAGAAAATGCTGCTTTTAGTAGTCTTCACGGCAGCATTTTGTAAACCATTAAAGATCTATGAATTTGGCAACTAAATGAATCGTGTAGGGCCAGGACTACTGAAATTTTGGTAACTACAAGTGATGATCAGCATTTTTCAAGTTTAAACAATAGTTCACTCAAAAATGAAAATCCGGTCAACATTTACTCACCCTCAAGTCGTTTCACCTGTATGCTGAAGAATTTCACGCAACTTATTTATATGTGCGGGAGTTTAATTTTTAAGTGAACCGTTCCTTTAAAGAGACAGTTCACCTGAAAAAGAAAATTCTGTCTGCTTAAACTGTTGCCAACCAAACAGTTGATAGCAGCCACGGACTTCCATAGTATGGAGAAAAAAAAATACCATGTAAGTCAATGGCTACCGTCAACTGTTTGGTTACCAACATTCTTCAAAATATCTTCTATGTTCAACAGCTCATACAGGTTTGGAACAACATCAGGGTGAGTAGATGACAGAATTTTTATTTTTGGGTGAACTATCCCTTTAAGACCACATAATATAATAAAACTATTTTTGGAGACTCTAGTCGAATACATGGTTTATGCAGGACAACAGCACCACACTCTGCATTAGACAGAGTCACGATCATAATCATATCATTATTACCAAATCATAAACATGTAGAGGGAGGAGTGTTTCAGGGTCCCTCTATCCTGCTATAGCAGGTGTGATCCGAACTCAAACTGAAATATAACTGAACGCTGGAGGTGTTGAAGGGGTTTCACGAGGTAAGACTGGCCCATCTGTGTTCCTAAATGATGTCAAGGGGATCTGACATTTAGGGTGGGCAGAAATCGGCAAAGTAAGGGTGCTGTAGGGCTTCCTCTGCTGAAATTCGCTGAACTGGATTGCATTTCAGAAGATTCTGCACAGGACAAACACAGAAAAATCCAGCTAAAGCATAAAATCGTGAACTCATTGTTACCACAATGAAAATACTTCACCTGTAGTAGGTCTCTGCCAGTGCTGCTAAGTTTCGGGACGACATTCACAAGTGATGTAGTAGCTGGATACATTGGGTACGGCTGTCAAAATTAAAATATATATTTAAAATGATTAAAATAGAATGCAGAATAAATGTATCAAAATAGTACTTCTTAAAACAATGTTAATGTTTGGTTTACTTGTACATTCTCACCATATCCTCATGTTTTTTTTGTGTGTGCAAAATCGTATTATCTGCACCGTTTTTGAAAATGAAAATTTCTGCCAGCATTTAGACGAATGAATGTTATACCTTATAATCTGGAAGTTTATTCATAGTCTGCCACTGTTCTTCTGTCGGTGTTCCCAGCAACGTGCCAAAATGTTAAAGTTAATCAGCTCATACATACATGCCAAGCCAGTATTTCTTTCTTTTCTTTTTTTCCCCTTTTTTAGTTGAGGCATTAAAATCACTAATTGGACATTAATAAAAACTAAAAAGAAAAAAAGAGATAGTATGATCTACAGTAGTCAACATTTAAAGTGGATCAAAAAAGTTCAAAGTTGTCATAAGACAAGAACGCATTTTGGTTTTAGGTTAACTTTGATGAACAGTTTTGATCCACTTCAAATATTGACTAGTGTGTATAATATATATATATATATAAATAAACTTCAGGATTCACAGTTCAATCCAAATGTATAAACCCAACAGAAATTTGAGTGTAAAGGATATCTAAAGATCCTCTTCAGCTGGTCGTCCACATCATTACCAGGAAATAATGGCCGTCCGGCATTTGCCAATTCTAAAAAAATAGCAAAAATAATACAGAAAAATACTATACTACAAGAATAAATTATGATTTTAAATGAAGCCATTCCTACCTGCAAATATACACCCTGCAGACCACATGTCAATAGAGGTAGAGTATAGCTTAGCACCAAACAGCACGTCTGGAGGCCTGTACCACAACGTCACCACCTGAAGACAACCAACATGAAGTGAGGAACAGGGAGACTCTGAGAAAGACCACGCTGCATCTGAAGCCGTGTCGCTTTACCTCAGCAGAATAACAGCGTACAGGTATTCCAAAAGCTCTGGCCAAGCCAAAGTCAGCTAACTTCAGCTCACCGTTCTGATGAAAACAACATAATACAGATATACAGAAATAAGGAAACTAGCATGTTGAAGTTCTACAAAATCTGTTTTAACAACATAATTCAAATCTTATAGTCGTATATAATGCAAACCTACAGGCTATTTCATGACACAAATTATTTAATATCAGGCACTTTGGGTCATTTGCTTACTCTGTTGATGAGCAGATTTTGTGGTTTAAGGTCTCGGTGGAGAACATTTCGGCTGTGGCAGAAGGCAAGACCCTTCAATAACTGGTACATAAAGGACTGCAAGGAGAGAAGAATTAAATCTGCATTATCTGATATCTCAAACATCTTCTGATACAGGGTTTCATACATATATATAAAAAAAGTTTCAAAAACAAATCAAACCTTGACAATCTCTGGATCCAAGTCACCATTACAGCTGTCAAAGTATTTCTTCAAATCCTGTTTTGAATGAAAATCATTCTACATTTTACAAAGCATACTAGTTTTAAGACTAGTTCAAGCAGCAAGATCACTGGAATCAGTGTAAATATAATGATGCAATTTATGACGCAGCCTCCTACCTGATCACAATACTCAAACACTAATGTCAGCTTCTTATCACTGTGAAGGACGTCATGCAACCTACAAGATCAAGCAGTGCTTGTTGATACACCATTTTTATTACATCGCCATTTAATTATATTGATAATTCATTTAAAATGATTATTTAAAGAACCTACTTAAAATTACTTGCAACCAACCAAACCTGGCATTAAATAGTTAATATATTAAACATGGAATATTTTTTAAAAATCCAAGAGAAGGAAAATGTATTGCAATAATAACAAAGAATAATAATAATTTATATACTAATAATAATTTGAAAGATGACAGAATAAAAAAACCAAAACAAGAGAAATATAAAAAGTACACAAGTACTTATTAATTAACAACATTTATTTTGCATGTTGTAAAGCAGCATAAAACAAGCTGCACAATATCTAATTCATCAAAATCCTTATGAAAAAAGATTTAATATAGTTAGTGCAATATTTTTTTAAAAATCCAAAAGAAATAAAAATGCTCTTTTTGCAATAATCTGAATGCAATCATTTTAATTAGGTTTTTTAATGCAATAAATCCAAGAAGAAGAAAAAAAAACTACTTAATTAACAACATTTATTTTGTATTATGAAAAATACTAAATATGCAATTAATTAAAAAATAAAAGCAAACACACCTTACAATGTTTTTATGCTTCAGCTCTTTCAGGAGGCAAATTTCTCGTAATGCTGAACTTGGAACCCCCTGTAGTAGGATTAAAAATTAATATGACAATTTGCTTTTAGTATGACTTGACCCCCAGCAGTCTGAGCTCTCCTTACCTCATCATCATCATCCAGTCTCACTCGTTTGAGGGCCACAATCTCATGTGTTTCTCTGTTTTTAGCCTTGAAAACGGTCCCATATGTACCTGGTGACAGAGCACAAAATGCATTAAAGAAACTGGGAATAAAATATTCGACTTGGCAGACTGACTTCTAAGCATTAATTTAAAAAAAAATCACTGTAGAATTAGGATGAGTTCAATTAGAATACAACAAATCCTCAAATGGGCGTGGCCTAGAGGTAAAAAAAAAAAAAGTACAAAACAATTGTTATATTTGAATTCTCAGCTGTTTGATTTGCAGTTCAATGGATATGAAACTTTCTTCATGTATTTATACAGGTGTAAATTATTGTCCCGAGCGCTTCCTAAGAATAACGTAGGTTCACGTGATAACTGTTTACTTTCTCATCGAACTTCAGGATGGACCAATCACAGCCGTTGTGATTAATGTATGAGCATATTTTATGATTTAATAAAGACTCCCAAATTTTCTGGTATAACTTGACTACCAATTCAATTAAATGTATTTGAATTGGTATATTTAGTGTACAAACTCGCCAATAAGGTACAAATCGTCCTGAGATTTGAATGTAACTCAACGGAGAAAAGCCGACTTTGAGCCTCCATGCGCCCCCTAGAGGAAAATACCCTTCATGTCTCATATAAATCAGCTTCTAACAGCTCAATGAGAATCAAAGAACAGCCTGATAATGGTGCTGCAATGAACGATCTATTAGTTTAATTAGAGATTATCAATGCAACAGCTGCATTTCTCTGAACAAAAGCGATCACATCATTTAACAGGTGTGCAAACGCTGTTCTGATGGATCTAAAGCCAGGTGCACCATCATCTCAGTATGAGCTTGCTAGCTAACTTAGCTAGCTGTAGCTTGGACTTTAATCTTAACACATGCTTACGAACGCGTAATTCACTGACTGTCAGCCGCTGTAAGCTCTACTATAACAGTAAACATTCATGAATGTTAATACTCTATAAATCTCTAATGCAGACACAGCCAGTCAGGCCAGACTATCCATTTACTCACCCTCTCCTATCTTCTCCAACTTCTCATACTTTTGCATGGTTTTAGCCAGTTACAACAGCTTTTAAATAAAGCGTCCTGTCTCCTTATTTTCCTACGTATTAAAAGAAAGGTGTTAATTGTATAGCTGATTACAGTCGTTTTTTATCAACAAGGGGCGTAGTACGCAACATGAAGATAGCAATAAGAGCTTCAAGATGGCGATTCACTGAGAGACACTTCAAAATAAAAGTACCGTTTGTAAATGGATTTCTGGGTCGATAAATATACTTTCAAATGCATTAATAATAATAATAATAATAATAATAACAACAACAACAACAAACATTTAAATAAATTCTAGCTAAACACTTTTGACAATATTTTTTTATATGAATAAACAAACAAACAAACAAATAATGCAGGAAGAAAATCATTTTATTATACCTCAGTTTTCATGGAAGACAAAGAGTATCAACACAATGGTATTAGAATATAATATATATTTCAAATTAAAATGTACATCTTGGTTTATTGAAAGCTTTTCATTTAAAAAAAGAAAAGATTCAAAATACTTTCAGTCTAGAGTTTGTAAATTAAACCGTATTTAAAAACAGTTTGGCTACCATTACACAACACTGACATTTATCTATTTAGTGATACATAAAACTCAAAACAGAGAATATTCACTAAAACTCATTTTCTTTGACAGAGCACCAAATGAAATTGTCTTTAAAAAGATCATTTAAAATAACTGTGTTCGATGAAGTATGCACAGAAAGTACAGTATTTTATTTGTGACCATCGGATCGTTGTCTCTTTATGAGTTCAGCATACAGCCCTCCTTTGCTCAGTAATTCCAGGTGTGTTCCAGCCTTTGAAAATATAAAAATGACATTAAACATCATCACAGTGTTCACACATGTTCAGTTTGCAGTTACATTTGTAAAGTCCTTCCTAACCTCAACAATACGTCCATTGCTCATGACGCAGATGAGATCGGCCCCCTGTATGGTGCTGAGACGGTGAGCGATAATCAGAACGGTGCGTCCCGTTGTGGCTCGGTCCAACGCCTCCTGAACCACGCGCTCAGACTCGGCGTCTAACGCACTGGTGGCTTCATCCAGGATCAAGATGCTGGGGTTTTTGATCAGGGCTCGGGCGATAGCGATTCGCTGCTTTTGGCCCCCAGATAGAGTCACTCCACGTTCACCTGAAGATTTGACATTTTTGAAGAAAAAATATGAAAATGCATTAATTTTATTTTAGGATATATTTTTAATTGTTCAGAAATTAGTTTTATTTCAGAAAAACAAAATTTATTTTCTGATTTTATTTAACAGCGCTTACCAACCACGGTGTTGTATCCATCCAGGAATCCTGTGATGAAATTATGAGCATTGGCTTGTTTGGCCGCAGCCATGACCTCAGCGTCTGTGGCACTGGGCTTTCCAAACCTGATGTTCTCCATCACTGAGGTACCAAACAGAACAGGTTCCTGTAATAATGACAAAACAGAATTATAAGATTGATTATCTATTTCACACACACATAACACAAAGAGAAAGCTGAAATGTTTTGAAATGTGAAAATTTACCTGACTAATGAACCCAATAACGTGTCCTCTTAACCAGGATGGGTCCAGTGTCCTGATGTCCAGTCCGTCCAGCATGACCTCTCCACTGCTGGGGTCATAGAACCGCTCCAATAAGGCAGCCACTGTGGATTTGCCTGAATATAGAGGGAAATAAATTACTAATACATTAATAATAATAATATATTCACATGTGATGGTTGTGACCATTTGTATGTTAAGTTTCTGTGCTAGACAGATGGATAGATAGATAGATAGACTGATGGATGGATGGATGGATAGTCAAATGGATAGACAGATAGATAAACGGATACATATACAAAAGACAGACAGACAGATAGATAGATAGATAGATAGATAGATAGATAGACTGATGGATGGATGGATGGATGGATGGACAAATGGATAGATAGACAGACAGACAGACAGAGGTATAGATAGATAGACAGAGGTATAGCTAGACTGATAAATATACAAACAGATAGATAGATAGATAGATAGATAGATAGATAGATAGATAGAACGACAGACAGACAGACAGACAGACAGACAGACAGATAGATAGATAGATAGATAGATAGACTGATGGATGGATGGATGGATGGAGGATGGATGGATAGTCAAATGGATAGATAGATAGATAGATAGATAGATTGACTGATGGATGGATGGATAGTCAAATGGATAGATAGATAGATGGATGGATGGATGGATGGATGGATATTTAGATAGACAGACAGAGGTATAGATAGACAGAAATATAGACTGATAAATATACAACCAGACAGAAAGACAGAAAGATAGATAGATAGATAGTTAGATAGATAGTTAGATAGATAGATACTTTACCTCCACCTGACACGCCAACGATAGCGACGGTTCTACAGGGAGGTAGAGTCAGGTTGAAGTTCCTAAGGATCTGGTTTCCAGGTCTTGTTGGGTAACTAAGAAACATTGCAGGAAACATCAAATAACAGAGAATTAAGCTCTTTAGACTGAATTTAGGTCTCGTCATGTTTGCATGAGAGCAAACAGAGACCTACCTGAAATTGATGTTCATGAAGTCAACTCTTCCCGTCAGAGACTTGAGAGGGATACGACCTCCTCCGGTGAGAGGAACAGTGGGCTCCAGAGCCAAATACTCAAACACACGAGCCCCTGCACTCATACCGCGAACCATCTGACACAAACCACACATCAATATATACTGTATATAGATTACATACTATATATAAAGTAACAAAACGCTTGGAAATGTCATCTATTCACCTGTCCAAAGAGAATTGAAATGCTGGCAAGAGATCTATAGAGAGAGAAGTGATTCTATTACATTTGATATTATAGACACTGCTTCAGCTGAATGTTTGTTCCTTCTACATTATGCGTAGGAAAAAATTGTAAATTAAGACTCATTGCACTCTCACCTCTGAACCGTTTGAGAGGCGACCAAAAAAGACATTAGATCACCAGGCGACATGTCATTACGGGCCATCAAAGACCCACCAGCAAAAATATTGCCTAGGACAATGCCTGTCGAAGAAGAGATATTTAACAGATCTAGTTCATGTGGTCACTGCATGTGAATCAGAGAAGATGCATCAATACTCACAGTTCAGGACAATATTAGACACGCCCTGAAGACAGCGTCTCATTCATCGCAGCTGATTTCTGGACTTCAGCGGCATACATCCTGTAAAAGAGTGGGAATATCAGAACTGTTAGGTTTTGATGAATAATAGAGAGCTTTGATTATGCATGTCCTGATCAGTTTTATTTTCCTGAAAATATCAGATTTGGTGCATCCATGTTAAAAAAAAAAAACGGTAAAATGCTATAGTAAAAATTGTAAATGTTTTACCTTCACATTATATGTACTTTTATTATAAAATACTGTCAAATGCATGTTTTTTTGCAAGTAAAAACGGTTTATTACTGTAATTTATAATTTACCCTATAATTTATTAACCTTATAATTTACGGTGAAAAACAGTAAAATTACATTTCCAGAAGTTACTGTGTGACATTACATGATTATATTTTATAAAAATAATTTTTGTTATAAGTAATGTACATTAGAGCATTTTTGTTACATTTTCTGTTATTTATATCAAGTTTATTGCATTATTTTAGTGTTGTGTGTTACACACACTGATGGTGTTTTGTCTTTGTGTGTATGACACTGTCTACAAGTATTGGTTTTATGGACAGGGGCCTTATGATGAACTTATTATTAGTAGCTTTTTAGGGGTTCAAGCGCGTAGCGCGGAAACCCTATTGTAATTGTTAGAATGGTCACGGATCAGTGATCTCCACGTAAAACTGATTGTGCAGACCAAACCGTAAGTCGTAGAGACTTGAAACTTGGAGGGATGGTAGTACTCACACCGCCTACAACGTGACCAAGGCTCGCCCCAATCGGCCTGACGGGGGCGCTACAGCGATCAAAAGTACAAAATCGCTCATAAATCCTAAACCGTCAGTCACAGGCTCAAGTGTCTTATGTCGTTGGAATCCTTGGCTCACGCAGGACAAAACACATGCCTCAGATTCGATCGTGAGCCAGCGAAATTTTCGCATATTTTGCATTTTTTGAAAAACGTACTTTTGCGAACTAGTCCTAGGTTTTTCGCCTGATCGGAACCAAACTAGTGCAGAAAGATTCTCTGGAGAGTGAATATCAATAATCATCAAAAAAGTTGAACTTTCGTCTCACCGTCGCAAAGGGGCGCCAAAACGTTCAAAAGGGGCAGGGCCACTTTTAGTATACTGCCTATAACTCCTGAACGGAATGAGATATCTTTGCCAAACTCAGAACACTTATGTAAGAGCTCAATCTGAGGTCACAGGAAAAAAAATCGCAGAGCCTGGCCACTTGGTGGCACTATAAGAGGGAAAAAAACATAAAAATGGCTATAACCGCGCAACCATTTGTCTTATTAACATGAAAATTGGTGTGCACGGTCTTGGTATAAAGTGCCACAAGTGCCTACAAGGACATTTGCATATCTCAAAAACATTGCCGCCATTGGCCGACGAAGTTTGAGCACCTGTTAGACAAGGTTAACGGAGGCCAATTGGAACAAAACTCGGTGGGCCTGTTCGACTCATGGCCCCAAAGGTCTGAGAGAAATTTGAAAGATATCGGCCACTGGGGGGGCCATATCGCATTTTTCAAGGGCGTAAACGATTGTACATCATGCGTTTTTCACACATACGCATGATATTTGTATCATACGATAGAACTCCTCATTCCGGACAACTTTGCCTCTAGAACCACGGCTGTCAATCAAATTGTTTGTTAAATGATTGAGAAGATGTAAAAAAAACGACTTTTGCGAACTAGTGTCCTAGATTTTTTGCTCAATCTGGAAAAAAAACACTGCAGTACAATTCTCAGTACAAGACTCTCTAGGCCAATAATTATCAAAAAATGTTGAAATTTACACTTTGGGAATCTATAACGGGGTCGTTTAGAAAAGGGGCCTGTCCAAATTTACCCAAAATCCTATAAAGCCTAAAGGAAAACTCAAAACTTCACGAAACCTGCTGAGCACATGCGACAGGTGATTCTAAAAAAGCATGCAAAGTTTTAAGGAGAGCGGTCCACAGCTGGCGCTATAACAGTCATAAATGTAAAAAAAAACATATTTCTATGGTAAATTACCTGGATTTGATAAAGCATAAAGAAAAACTCAAAACTTCACGAAACCTGCTGAGCACATGCGACAGGTGATTCTAAAAAAGCATGCAAAGTTTTAAGGAGAGCGGTCCACAGCTGGCGCTATAACAGTCATAAATGTAAAAAAAAACATATTTCTATGGTAAATTACCTGGATTTGCCAAAAATGCTTTTTTAATCATTGATTTAGGTGGGTACAGCCTTGCAAGATAATATGTAATGTCTTTTTCCTTATATGCTTAAATGCCTTAAGCGCTTGAACCCCGGTAATCGCTGCTTGCAGCTATATTTTTTAGCATTATTATTGATTATTAGTAGCTTTTAAGGTAAAAAGCAGATTTTGGTAGTTCAAGTAGATTGGTAAATTAGCATTGTATCACTTAATGAAATACACAGTTATATGTATACAATTACTACAACTGTCACTGTCACCGTATTTTGTAAGGTGCACTTCAGATACCAACATCTGTCATTTTTTAACAGGATATTTTTAGAGTGTAGCATTCTCAACTATTCCACAGAATTCAGCAGATGTTTCCCTCAACATCAACACAGAAAATGCAGATAATAGTCTGTCGTCATACTCTAGTTCTCGATCCTCCATGGCAAAAGCTCTCACTGTCCTCACGTTACCAAGAGTCTCATCGGCCACTCCTGTAGCTTTAGCAACCTAAAAGAGGAAAACAGGGGAGTTAGCATACAAAGAGTAACAAAACCACAACCTCCACGTCTTCTACAGAGTGTTAGAAGTTACCTGTTCCTGTGCTTTCCGTGACAGTTTACGGAGAAAAGAGCCGATGAGAGCACCAGCCCCCACAAGACATGGCAGGACGACCACAGTGAGACCCGTGAGTTTGGGAGAGATGATGTGCAGCGACACAAAACAGCCCACTGTCTGTGTGGCACTGCGCAAACCCTGTAAACCATAACACGTAACCAAATGAATGTGGTACGTCTATACATTCTTACTAGGGGTTTAAACACACTTGCTCTCATCTGAAATATCCTACCTGAGAAATAACCAGTCTGAAGGAAGATTTAAACTCCTGGATGTCTGATGTCAGGCGATTAACCAGCTGCCCGGTCTTGTTTGCATCAAAAAATGCAACATCTTGTCTGTAACATGACATTTAGATAAGATCATTAGAAAGATGTCTGTCTTCCTAATGCCCTATGTGTTTTAGCATTTTAAGCATCTAAAAAAAACTTACAAACCGAAGCAAAGAGGTGAAGAGAGTTGTCCTCATGTCAGCTGCCACTCTCTCTCCAACTCTAGACAGAAGAATGATGTAGCCACTGGTCAACAGACCCTGATAGACAAGTAAAGTCAAATATACTACCAAGTAAAAGTTTGGGGTCATGTTTTAAAATAAGTCTCTTTTGCTCACCGAGGCTGCATTTATTTGATTACAAATAAAACAGTAAAAAAAACTAAATATTATTACAATTTAAATGAACTGTTTTCTATTTGAATATATGTTATAATGTAATTTATTCCTGCGATGCAAAGCTGAATTTTCAGCATCATTACTCCAGTCTTCAGTGTCACATGATCCTTCAGAAATCATTCTAATATGCCGATTTGCTGCTCAAGAAACATATTATCAGTATTAAAGACAGGCGTACTGCTTTATATTTTTGTGGAAACTCATAAATTTTTTGTGGATTCTTTGATAAACAGAAAGTTGAAAAGAAAAGCAATTATTTGAAACATTGTAAATGTCTGTATTGTCACTTTTGATCAATTGAATGTGTCTTTGTTGAATAATTATATTCGTTTCTTTCCTAAATCTGTCATAAATCAAAAAGCAAGTCAAATTTTGCTCACAGAGCTTCAGTGTAATGTACCTGTAAACCATACAGTCCAAGCAGCTTCATTGCAGGCGCTTTAATGTCTCTCATGTAATGACCTGCTTGTTCTTGAGCGACGACATTCACCAGATCCCCCAACATCAGAGGAATCTGAATATTAAGGGCTGCTGCTCCAAATGCAAGCTGAAAGAGGAAACAACAGAGATATCACAGCACAATAAACCAAACTATCGACGATATGGTCAAAAAACACAATTAACTTAGCATAAGTGTCAATAGTTTCATTGTTTACTTACGATAATGGCTCCTATAAGAGCAAAAAGTTGGGGCCGAACGAACTCCCACAGGACGGCCCAGCTGAATTCAGGAATCTTCTCTTTTGCCTGAACTTCCAGCGGGACGTTATTGTTCACATCTGCTTCACAGTGAGCTCCAGTACCAAGCAAGCGTGCTGTCACTATTAAAGCAGCAGGTCCTAATATGAATTTCAGAGTGATGTTTGGTGGTCTGGGCTGCTGTCTGGATGCTAGACGGGGCACTTTTTGAACTTGTCTCCATATGCGAGCAGGAGTGCTGACAGTGATCTGTGTTGATGGGGTTTGTGCACTGCTCCATGATACTGTATGCTGGCCACGCCTAAAATACAAGAAATAATGGAAAAGTACAGTGTTGCATGGTCCTACTGAATGAAAGGTATGCTAAAGTGTGTTTCTTTTTCACAAGGGGCATAGCATGGCTATTAAGCGATATTTTTCTTTAGTTTAAGCTATGTAAATGTCAAATATCACCGTTTGCATGCTTAAATAAACTATTTCTACACCTGCGGTGTCTATTTGATCACATTTACTATCAATTGTGTTTATATACATATGCAAAATGAAATGCAAATAGATATTCTCATGACCTCAGTCAGATGAATATGGAAATGACTACTGTGTAGACAATTAGTTTCAATCTAAAATAATAAACAAAGAGACAAATTGTGTACCTATTGAGGTGGTGGATCATGAAATCGCTTGTTTTTTGGGAGTTCAAAAGTCGATCTGACGTGACAGTGCCGCGTGTCAATCGACTGCAACGTGTAAAATGAAACATGCTGTTGTAGTGTTTTGAAATGACAGCAGGAAGAAGAAAGAAAGATAGTTTATGAAACTAAATCAATTCAAGGATTAACATGTAGGCCGCCATGTTTACGCAATCCCATTCCCAACGTCACCCCGCTGACCGTGTACGTCATCGCTGCATTAAAAACACGTTAGCTTATTTTATTTATTCCCTTTTTTGTATTCACATAAATAATGGAATGTATACGACAATTTGATTTTATGACTATATGTTTTTTTTTTTTATAGAACTGGCAATTGTTTCAATTGAAATTCTTTCTTTTTCTTTTCCGCTTTCTTTTTCCCCCGCTTTTCATTTAAATACACATTCTTTATTTTATTGTTGATTATAAATGGTAAGAATGAATAAATAAATAAATGTCATATTTTTATATTATTTAATATTTTTAACCGTCCGTTGGTCAAACATTTACCTATTTTGCAGGTTGAATTGATTAAACAGAACTCAAATATAACCAGCAAGGATCGAAAATAGAGAATGATTTAAAACGTATAACGTTACACTTCTTGGCAAACGTCATGCTTAAAATATAATTTAATATACCATTTTACACATGTCCAGAATAAAAGTCTCCCCGGAAGTGACGCTACCGGAAACCAAAGTGACGACAGGCGATGTTTGTTGTCATATCTGTTTTTGTTGTGAAGAGCAAAGGCGAGGATCATCTTTGCTCGGATGGTGAGACCAATACAGCGGTTTACGTATTAAAATCGTTTCAATATTCTTTTAGTATAAATGTTTTCAATAAAGAAATCTCAACTGGACGATAAAAGACGGTAACGTTATAAGCAAATAATGAGCAGTTTTGTCAGCATGAGGTTGATGTGTGATCTGTTAAACTCACTCCCGTTAGCAGACACTGCATAAAAATGGTTAAATTTAATGAGAAATGATGTTGTCATTAACAATGAATGCAGTTGTACGCCATCGTGATCTGTGATAAAAACTTGTGGCTTTGTTTCTTTCCAATAATGCAATCAAATCTGTCCTTGACTCATCTGTTTGTAAACTGATCATGTGATTGTGGTTTTATCAGAAAATAGAGACAATAACAGTCTTGTGAGTACAGTGAACTCGGCCAGTTTGTGGATAGTGGATGACATCTGTCACATCTAATTCTACTATAATGTTATTTATACGTGTTGTTCAGGACCTATGGTGAACATTATAGAGAGGTAGAATGTAAAACACGATGGCTGGTTTTGAAACGTACCACCAGGAGTATCAGCGAATAGAAGATTATGATGAAGACTCCCCTCCAGGAGAGGAAGATTTACTCATCCATGTGCCAGAGGGAAGAGGAGGTAATTATTGTTCACTTTTACATTATACATTATGACAAACAAAAATCTGTATATCATATTGTTGATCATTGAACTGAATAACAATGTCTTTGTTAAATTGCAGACCCATGGCATCATATCAAGAACCTCGACAATTTCTTCACAAGAATATCCTTTAAAAATATGAAAACAATATGCCTTATTATTTAATGAATTTCATAGGCTGAATAGGAAAATTCATGCTTTTTTTTTTCATGCATTTTTTCGCCCACAAAATCAGCAGTTGTGCAATAGTTGTAAATGCCTGGAATGGCATAATTTCTCTTTTTCTTGAAGACACACCGTCTCTATTCATCATTAGGCATTAATATTATGTTATGCTCTGGCTACATTAATGTCTGAACAATGCTGTACTTCTTTCATTGGAATGCAAGAGTCCTTGACACGCTCACATCTATCATTTCCATCAGAAGAATGGATTCGCCTGTATGGTGTTATCAGAGTTTTTTGAACTTGTGTAAGTCATATTTATTTTTGCCTGAAGTGTTCATTCTTTGGGGCAGGACTGCATACATACCACTCCAGAACTAATCTCTTTTTGCATTCCCATATTCAGGCAATTCCTGTTTGTAGTCACGTTTACAACTTTCCTCTTCAACTGTGTGGAATATGATGTTCTCTTTGCCAACCGAGTGATCAACCACACGGGTCAGAGTCCACTCGGTCCACTGGACAGGAAAAAGGTCACCCTTCCTGATGCGATTTTACCCGGCGAGCAGTGCACTGAGAGGTCAGTGTGTCCGCTTTATACAGGCATATTCCCATTATATTGCGAATTGAATTCAGCTTTGCTTGTAGCAATTTGTTGGTTACTCTGAATTGGTCAAGGATGTAAGTAGTTGTTTAAATAAATATAAAATTCAGTGTTTGTAGCTTTAGCTAAAACTATACAAAAATTGTTAAGTAAAATAAGGTTAAGTTGAAGTACTAAAAGTACTAAAATATGGATAAAAATAAAGCTGAATAGAGATATATAAAATGTAAGTATTAGATAAAAAATTTCGATTGTTGTAAAAAATACTAATGTTGCATTGGAAACTAACTCAAGTAAAATAATATTAAGTTGCAGAATAAAAATTAC